ATCATATACTCTTCGAACAGCTGATTAGCTGCCTTCGCATACGAAACACGCAACTAAAACAAAATGAAACAAAAATAAAAATAACAAAATTTTAAACCAAAACAAAAAACAACAGCTGAATGGGCATAAAGCAAAACCAACGAAAACAGAAGCTGATGAAAGCCAGAACGTCAAAACAGTGTTGCCATCACCACAACATAGTGGCCATTTCTTAGCATGGTCAGCAGTGTTTCTACTCACACGCTTGTGACAGACGTGGCGAAGTAACTCAATGAAAACAAGACATGCCATCACACTCGCGCTCATCGTTTGCGCCATTTGGCTTATCGATTTTCGCTGTGTTCTTGCGTGTTCGTACGATAGTGTGCATTGAAATTTTTCAGCATTGTCGGTAACCAGTTCTGTGAAAAAATTTTAACCGATGTAAAAGCGAATTTTATTGTTATTGGCGTTTCAAGTGAACTAAATATTGTGCAAAAATAAAGATTAAAATTGTGTGTATTCTGGAAATAGTGTGTAAGGTGTATTACTCAGCAACTTGCTGTGCTGTAAGCAATGTAAATACACAAAGTGGAAGTCGTCTTTCACAATTTACTAATCGTGTGTGAGTCCCAGTCTTGGTGTGGAAAAAATAACAAAGAACGCAGCAGCCAAGTTTTAAACTGGGAACGCAAAAGTGTATTCGTTTAAATTAACTAATTTCGTAATGGATGACGCGTCGCAAAGTTCCGCAACTACGCCGATGGCCGCTCGGGAGAACATTCCGCTAATAAATCGACCCAGACGACGTTGGTATTTATTCAGGTGAATCTCAATTTTCAATTAATTTAGTGTGTTCAATTATACATACATAAGTCGTTTGCAAACTTTATTTGCACAGTTATTTGACATGGTATGCCATATGTGGAATTGATTAACGCAGACAAGATATTCGCTTATATAAAGTGGTGACAAAGTTTTTAACTACACTTGCTAATGTGTGTTTGTGTGTCGTTATGCTGGAGCAGTTGAGTGGTGCTCCAATAATGTTTATGCCTGCAGCTTTCGCTAGACCCACATTCGCGCTGAAGCCAGTGAAAAGTAGTTTTTTTTTTTTTGTATGTTGTTTTTGCTTGAGAGGAGCTCACCAATTTTGGAGAAAGCTGTTGGGTTGTTATTGCCCGCATTTTAATTATTTTTTCATCTATGAATTCGCTGTTGTATAGACAAAAGTGTTGTGTTTATATGAATTTTTCAATTGTGACAATTTAAAAAAAATTGATTAAAATGTTGTGATAAGCAGCAGCACAATAGTAATGGTGGTCATAATAACAAACTTCGCGTATTTAATTGTAAAAATTTCTGACTTTTAACCTAATAAGTTTTAATTTAATAAATAACATTAAGAAAATATGTGCGATTGTGTATGTATTTTGAGTGACCTTGGCCGTATATAGAGATGTACTACATATTATACATCCATAATTTCATTGTCTTAACTTTTTGGAAAAATAGTGTTCATATAACCTACTTTTTTACCAAATAAAAATCCAATTCTTATTGCGTATTGTTTACACAACTGGTTGTTGTACCTAATACATTGTGCAGTTATCTAGAAAAATATTTATATACATTAACATATGTATTGAATAGTTCTATAATCAGCATTTGCTGGACAACTTATTTCCAGTTTTAACTCGTGTGTACGATTTCAATATAAATTGTAGTTTTTCTTTAAAGTAGTTGCAGATCTTATAACACTTACTGTTCAAGTCTCATTCACTTGTTTCTTATAATTTTAGAATCAAAATAATCGCGACAAATTGTTATTTTCTTAGTTACAATCATGACATCATTCAAATATGTCTGGGTATAGTTATACATGTACAAAAGTACATACATACATATATCTCAAAAACTGTATTTCTATAATGGCTTTTCTCTCCAGCTCCCCATTGTGCAATTATTCGCAATGAATTGTTATGTCTTGTTCTGTTATTCGCTCCCCACTCTCATATTTATTATTGCTAATGTTCAGCTGGTTTTTATTACTACAAATTCAGTGGGTAATACTATTCGTTGAGAGTTTTTAAAGTGTTCATATGTAAATTTGCACATATATATGTATATGTATGTGTATAAAATGCAATAAAAGTGCAACGCAAAGAATGCATATATTGAAAATATACGACTAACTACTTTTTTCCTTTCAATGACTACACAATCTGTACCACAGTTCAACGCCACTGTATATTTATGTATGTATATGCAGCCTATTTTTCATATAAATTGCCTTTATTGTTACTATATTAGTACTATCAAAGCCTTTTTGCAACTGTCGGTATAATTCTGTAACTTTTTTCTGTTTGCAAGCTGACGTCTTTCTAGTAGCGATATTTCCAATTTGCATTGCGGCACAATTACAATTACGAGTTAAATGAGTATTATGAGTGTAATTGAATTATTTGTGACTCCATTTTAACGGAATCTTTTTTTTTTGGATTTATTTGATTCTGTTTAAAATTTTAACTTTAAAAACCGCTTCATGTTTCATATAAAATTTTTTTTAGATAAACCTACATATTTACATATTTTTGTTTGTTTTATTAATTACTACTTTTCATAAGCGCTACGTGCACTTCCATTACCTTTAAAAGGGCGCAGGTTGTTTTGCTTTTGAAGGTTTTTTAATGTAGCATTGAGGACCCACTCAAACTCTGCTATGCGCTGCAAGTTCTCTCTCCTTATAATATTCATTGCTCAGAATTTTGTTATTGTTTGTATTTATTTATTTTTATTTTTTGTGTTCGCATTCAAGTTATGAATAATAATTAGCTTTTGGTTATAATTATTCCACTTGTATTTGATTTTTGTTGCTTTTCGCGATACAACGCCGTGCCTGGTTAATTAAACGATTGCCCATAATAAGCCCATATGTGTCGCTCAGAAAATCAATACGTTTGCTTGGCTTTAGTATAACTTTAAAGTCATGCATTATTATTTGTATTATTATTTTTCATAATTTACGAATTGTGCTGACCGCAGTTTTGTTTCTAGCCAAACAGTCAGTAAGTTATTGGTGTGGCTTGAACGATGACGAATTTGTGAAAGTAAAGTGCAAAAATGTCGGAAGTTGTCGAAAATAAAGAAACGGGCAAGGAATTGGTGAAGTTGAAGCTAAGCGCAAAGTTTTTCCTAGTTTTATATTTGTAGGTTTAAGAAAATATTGTTTGAGTTGTAGATTTTTCAAGACTTTGATTAGTGTGTCAAGTGAATTTTGAAATACTTTGTTGGAAACTTTGTCCCAAAATGGTCGGTTGTAGAAAGTCGGGGTTGTGTTTAGTATCGCGCCGGTTAATTTTGGCTCACCGTACCTAAATGAGAGAACCAAAWGGAAAATTTTAAACASGCATRTRTGCTTAAATTATCGAACTTTGTTTTAAATAATATTTTATAAAAATCGGT